GCATAAAAATGTATGTAAGTTTGATATCATCTTCAAAGATTGAATTTTGAAGTGATAATTCACTAATAATTTAACTGCGTTGTGTGTTGCCTTATGTAGAAATAGTTTGCTAGGAAATATCTTTGCTCACCTCTCGCTCACGGTGCCAAAACATTTTGTTTATCTGAGCTTTTTTTGTATGCATCTCTTTGTATATCTCACATGTGTATACATCGTAAACAAATGCAATTCTATACTGTGGCCTTACAAACTGTTAAGCCTGTTGAATTGCCCGTGTTGGCTCAATAAAACACAGATTTAACATCCTTTAGTACTCACATTTTACTCACAGAGGCTGCATAGATTACAGTAGATGATGCTTCAAATCACTTTATTTCAGATACTGTGTTCATCAAGGAGAAGAGCTGTTATGATGTACTTGTTCTCTGGTTGTGCATCTTGACCATCCACTGCTGCCATTGTGCTGGTTTAATCCAGTTTACAATCTTCTGTCAAGACAGGAGTGCGCATCATGATCCTGTGAAACGGCCATTAACTCTCAAAACAACATCAGACTGAGGGGTTTCAACAGAAAGAGGTTTCTTTTTGGCCATTCTTGAAACCTACCTTGGTTCAAAAGACGTTGTATTGTGATTTTTCACATTTTTCTAGGAGGATAAAGTCTTCTCTAGTAAATGAATGAGAATGATTTCTTAAGGATGAAGTCCTTATGTCCAGTCCAGTAATACTAAACAAATAAATGCTGCTTCAGTGAACAGAAGTAGGCTTACTTTCAAAAAATCTAGTTATGGAAGTTTATTTCAGCCAAGGGATAAAAATATTTCCTGGGGGGAAAATATTATCGTAATTTTTCTGACTTTTTTTCCTCTTGCAATTGCAAGTTTACATTTTGCAATTCAGTTTAAATTAAATATTCTGAGGTTTTTTTCTGTTTTCTGAGTTTGCATCTCTCAAATCTCTATTTTTTGCAGTTTTCAAAGAATCCGGAATTGTGAGATGAAAAGTTGTGACAGTCTATCTGTCTGTCTGTAGGTACATCCTTTAGTACTCACATTTTACTCACAGAGGCTGCATAGATTACAGTAGATGATGCTTCAAATCACTTTATTTCAGATACTGTGTTCATCAAGGAGAAGAGCTGTTATGATGTACTTGTCCTCTGGTTGTGCATCTTGACCATCCACTGCTGCCATTGTGCTGGTTTAATCCAGTTTACAATCTTCTGTCAAGACAGGAGTGCGCATCATGATCCTGTGAAACGGCCATTAACTCTCAAAACAACATCAGACTGAGGGGTTTCAACAGAATTGCAATCGTGAAATCTTATCGTAAATTCTGACTTTTTTTTTCCCCTTGCAATTTGCAAGTTTACATTTTGCAATTCAGTTTAAATTAAATATATTATTCTGAGTTTTTTTCTGTTTTCTGAGTTTGCATCTCTCAAATCTCTCTTTTTTTGCAGTTCTCAAAAAATCCGGAATTGTGAGATGAAAAGTTGTGACAGTCTATCTGTCTATCAGTCTATCTGTCTGTCTGTCTGACCTAATAAAGACCTAACCCAAACATAATTTCCTTACTGCCCCTTTAAACTGGCAATAATGCACTAACAGTACCTTTAGTGCATGTACAGATGTCGAAATATTATAAATATATAATGTTATATTTTAATTTAATATGTATAATAATATTCATCACTATACAGTGACAAAAACAAACTGATAAGTAAAATATATAAGAAATACAAAATAAGCAACTGGTAATTAAAAAAAAAAATTTGAATGCTCTGTTGAATGTCTGTTTATCAGCCAGTCATAAATTACTATTCAGTACCATAGTATATTTCAAATGAACAAACATGCTACCGCAGTACTTGTATTTTCTTTGTTCTACAGTGTTAGTGCAGATCCTAGCAGTCATTGATCTGCTTACAAAATTTTACACTTTTCAATGACCTACTTAAGTAGCCTACAAGTTCAAGGCCCAGAAATCATCGCATTGTGGTTTATAAAAGAAATGCACGCTAAACCCTGCCCGAAATGTATGAATATATTCATAATATGCAGGAAAGTAGATCAGGAGGAAAGTTAACTATCTAATCTACTTCATTCCAGCCTGCGACGAAACCTATGGCATCACGCCCCACATGTAGTGACGGCAACTTACGATATTTTACGTTTTTTAGTTATTTAACACAAGTAATCGCTTGTGTGTGACCTGATTTAAAGCGGTCATATGATGCGATTTCAATATTTCCTTTCTCTTTGGAGTGTTACAAGCTCTTGGTGCATAAAGAAGATCTGTAAAGTTGCAAAGACTAAAGTCTCAAATCCAAAGAGATATTCTTTATAAAAATTTAAGAGTCAACCACGCCTACCTAAAACGGCTCGTTCTAACACGCCCCCACATGTCTACGTCACGATGTGGGAAGATTTGCATAACGCTGCCCAAATGTTCAGCAAAGAAAGAAGGCGTAACTTTAATTCTTGCTGTTGCCGCCGCTGCCATGTTGTGGAGTCGTTGTGTGCTTCGTTGTGAAAGCGAAACTACTTTGTTTGGTCTTCCAAAAGAGGACACGACTAGAAATCAGTGGTTTAGTTGTATTTACAACACTGTTTCAGAACACTTCAACCCAAATATTCAGATGTGTGCAGCACATTTTATGGAGGATGAGGACTGTTTCCTGTAATGCGTCTGTGGCACAAAGGCTGTTTCTATAAAGTGGGGCATTTCCAACTTTGCAAGGACAGGCTGGCGCTTCTGACTCACAGCCTGTAAGTATGTTTTTTATATTTAAAGAATTTGCCACTGATGATTCAAACGCGAGTTTTGAGCAGTGTAGAGTAGCACTTGTTGTTTGTCATTTCTCCGATCACAAATGCAGACATGGTTTTATGTTTGCGCAGCGTGATACGCAACCAAGAGGCAACCTCCCGCTCTCGCTCGTGAAGCCAACACGGAAGTGACTTAAACTGTAATTCACCATCTGGCCGCTAGAGGCTGGCTGCAAAAGGGAGTCAATCCCATAGACTCACCATATTAAAATGTCCAACTTTACAGCAGAAAAAAATTTTTTACAGTCTGGTTCAAAAAATTATTTTGGTCTATATAGCAAATTTTGCCCTTCATGACAACTGTGAGGGGGGTGAATTTTTTTATAACTCATCCGTTTAAATTATATTAAGCCTTAAAATTCTGCATAATTAAGGGCGTGGCCACTTGAGTGACAGGTGGATTGCCACTGCTGTCACCACCGTCGAGCTAGGTGGGTGTGGTTTCAGCAGCCTGCTCCCGCCTCTTTGCACATTTTCGATTATCCGGGAGTGACGCGCTGCCAAGATGGCGACGGTCCGCTCCGCCCACTTTGAGCTTCAAAAACGCTCTTCGAAAATCTACGAATGACGTCACGAACAATACGTCCATGTTTTTATACAGTCTATGTACGCAATGCGTAAAGTCATTATAATCAGTAATTATGTCCCCAATGGATGCAACAAATGCCTAATTTGTATTGGGTTTTATTGGTTTTGTCTCGTTGTGCTGGGAGATAGCATTATGGTAAGGAACATAACATTTCTGTCACACGCTTGAGGCATTCGGCCAATCACAACACACTGGATAGCTGGCCAATCACAGCACACCTCGCTTTTTTAGAACGATGAGCTTTGTAAAAATCGATAATAATATTAATAACAATAATGTACATTATATGGAAAATAATGTTTTTTTTTTTATTTATTTTACCTTAAACCGCATAAACACATTACATTACACCAAATACACAAAATAATGTTCTTTTTAGCAAAGTCATATGACCCCTTTAACCCGGGGAGAGCGGCGTTATAACGGTTCGTTACCACGCCAGATCTCATGGCATTTCGCCTAAACTTCTACAACTTATTAAATCATCCTTACAATACTCTTCTTTAAAGGAAGACATTCCTCGATTAATGATAGGTGGTATTGACTTGTTAGATAAAAAAATGCAATAATATTCATATCATAAGAACATTACTCTCTATAAGCAGTATTGCCCCTATAGCAATGACTTCATGGAAACGGATTTATCCTTCTTTATCTTATGTGTTCATAATAATCTTGTGATACCAAACAAAGTTAAAGAAATCCATCTTAAAATCCTTCACAATTTTTACCCCTGCAAGTTATTTTGATCTAAATTTATGGATATTCACCCAGAATGCTCTCTTTGTGGATCTGAAAATGAATCAGTGCTTCATTTGTTCTTTAGATGCCCCTTTATAGTACCATTTTGGATTGAGATTTCAACTTTGATCTTTACTTCCTTTAATAACCTTATTGATATCCCAGAAGAAATGGTCCTGTTTTTGTTATGTAACACTGGATCTGCTCTTTTAAATAATGCTATTAAAATCCTGTGCTTGCTTGGAAAAGGTCATATTCATAAGTGTAAAGTTACAGCAATTTTATTGCATTTTGCTCCGAATTAAAACGTCTCGCTGAATCCCTCTGTAAATTAAAAAGAAACAAAACAGCAGTTAAAACATATCAGATTTTAAATAAGGGTTTGAATCATCTGTGAACTGAGATAGAATGTTTAGAAGAGCTTTCTTAACTCCTACTTGAGTCAAAAATAAATTAATTTTCTTTCTATTATTTATCTGTATTATTACTATTTAGTTTTTGATCATTATTATTGTATTTGACTCTTATTTTATGTTGTTTTATCTTGATACTTGCTTTCTTTACCTTGTTATTATTCTAAATCCCTCGTAACAGGTTTTTTGTTCTTGATCATTGCTAAAGGCTATCTTTCATTGTAATAAATCGATGATTTCAATTAAAAAAAATTAAAAAAACCTCGCCAGATCTCCACTGCTACTCCATTGTTTTCGTCGATTATGTAACATGGTCATACACGTGAGTCCAGCCGCATCCTCGGCTAGGCTGGCGTCATGACCACGCCCATTGACCAATCATACTGTCGCGGGGAGAACGCTCCGACCAATGGGAGTCGAGAAGGCGTGGCTCCGGTCGGCCAGACTCACGTGGGGCTGATGTGTTGCGGCTGGAGGGACTCGCGAGAAACTGGAGCAAGTGATTATTGAACATAAACATCAAGTAAGTACTCCTCTTTAACGCATCTCAAGCGCACGAAACAGATTTATAGATATAATAGTGCTGTGATATTCAAGAGAGTTTAATACGTCAAGACTTCGACGATTAACTCCTACGATTTAAGGTATACCTCGTTATTAATTATCTATATCATATAATCACCAGCATTCACTTATTATGCATCAACTATATGATAATCTCTTTGTTTTGATTTAAGTTGAAACATTGCGTTAGGTTATGCATGTAACTCTGCGCATGCGCACCGCGCATCTGACTTCTCATTTACTATTAAATGAGCTTTTTTTATTTCAACTTTGATGTTTTTGTCATTTTGGCGGCTCAGATAGAGGGAGTTAGGTGAATATCTTTCTGTAAGTAGACTCGTGGCCGTGCATGTGCAATGGTTCAGGTCTTGTGGGTTTGTTATTAATGTGGAAACTATAGAGGGTGTTTTTTGTTGTTGTTTTTTGAATACTAAATGATGTGTGATAGTGGGGGTCTGTTGCTTAATATCAAAATATCATCTTGTGAAATAAGCATTATATACCTTTGCATGAGTTATTATTAGTGTTTCATTTCTTAAGGTGGTTCTTCAGAACTTAGGAGTTTTACTTTATCATTTATTATTGAAAATTTGATATTGTGAATAGCCACCTGTGTCCTATTTGAACCAATAGCCTAATGTTCATTTGAGAATCAGTCAGGTTACACAGTCATGGAAATGTGTGGTCAACTGTTATGGATTTTTCCATGGATGATGCCGGTAATTAGAGAGCAGGGTGGATGCGAATGCAGCCTAATGCAACTTTGAACAAATATTCCATGCAATATTTACTGAAATGTCATATTTTGAGAAACTGCACATTATTAAGAAATCGGTGAAACTGGCACTGTTAATCAGGCATGTCTGGTTAGGAAAAATGTGGCCAAATATCAACAATATCATCCTTTAAAAAAGGCCAAATAATTGCCAAATATCAGCAGATGTATCACAAACCTGGTTTGAGTGTCAGATGCGTACCAAATATAGTCATTTAAACAATTATTTTTTTGATGGTGTAATGCATTCTCTAGACAGCTGTAAGCTATAGGGTGACCAGACATCCCCGTTTTCTGGGGACAGTCCTGGTTTTTGGTGTCCTGTCCCCGCCTGGAGCGGTCATATTAATATATGAAAACCACAACAATTAAAAAACACTGTCCCCGTTTTTTAATTTGTAGATAATCACAAGTGAGATTATCTATCCTATCACACTAGGAAATGTCCCCGGTTTTCATTTCAGAAATCTGGTCACCTTATATATAAGCCATTCATAGGTTGATTTTACTAATAAAACATAGCTGTAAATACAACCAGCAGCACTGTCTCGATCAATGGCATGAGTTTGGAGCGGGACTATCTGGGGAAACCTGTTTTACTTTTGCAGAAATGACACACTTCTGCTTTAAACCTAGTTATCCTTCTATTTGTCTGTCGAATCCCTTTTGGGGTCCCAGTGCTATTTCCCATACAGCTGATTCACCAGAACACAAGGAGTATGTCTGGTCTGTGTAACCTGAGCACATGCATCAGTTTATCTGAACTTTTTACTGTGTAAAAATGAGTTAAGTTAAGATACATGTAGCGTTTTATGGTTCACAGTCGGATGTAGGGTATGTAAAGATTATTACCTGTTGCACAAGATCTGATTACATTTTTCTGTACTAAAGACATGAGATAAAGAAACAGTTGTGCATAAATGTTAATGACAAAGAATTGTATTATATTACCAGTATTATATAATCACATAATCATGATGCATATTTACTGAAAGCACAGATTGCCGCCCTTTTTGGCTTTCTGTTGAGTTGTTTTGAGTTTTAGCTTACTCAAAGTTTCCCAAATAGCCGTGCATATATATATATATATATATATATATATATATATATATATTAGTATACACATACATTTTATATATATATATATATATATATATCATTGGGCCATTTGTCTTTTGCCTATAGCCAGGGTTATTTTAGTACCATTTTGATTTTGGGAAAAAATCTATATATATTAATAATAATATTTGTATTTGGGTTTTTTATATTTCTTGTTTTTATTTAAATAGGGCTATTCGCGATTCGTTGATTTTATTCGACTATTCGATTTTTAAAAATCCTCGACTTCATTTTGCTCGCGTCGACTAACCGGCAAAATACCGTAAGTGGCGCATTTCACGGACGAGAATCCATAAAACACATTATTAGACTGTTTCCCAAGGCTGCATGATATATTAAACCCATTTAAAAATCATAATTAAGCATAATTGTGAATTCACAAGCGTTACGATTTAATTAAATAATAATATGCGATGCAGTTCTAATACAGTATATGCACTTTAATTATTTACATGCGTGTAGGTTAAGTACATGCGTTCACAGTAGTTCCACAGGATCTGTTATCATTTACATGTGTGCAGCGTCTCAAACTCCATCTCTGCATGTTGTTGGGAGTTTGGGTTTATTATAACGTTCATCTGAGAACGCAACGTGCGCCATTTCTTCAGATTTGTAAGGTAAATAATTTATAAATCTACGCAAACTCAGGAGAATACATCGCGGTTTCAAAGTAAAAGCTCAAACCCTCACTCCGAGGTTACACGTTTTGATGTCCACATATTCTTTTAATTACAGTGGCTATAGCATTTCTGTCCTAAAGAAATGGCCAAATATTAAAGAATAAGTTGAATGAAATGGTGCTTGGTTAATATTAAACAAGTATTAGATCGCACAGCAATGTGTAAAAATAATCATCAGGCCGTTGGCGCCCTCTGCAGGCCTTTGTTGTAATGCGTAATGTACATTAACTATTGTTTATAATACATTATGTATTTTAACAGTTTTGTTCAATAAAACCATATGATTTCTTGCTTTTGATACTTTATTTGAACTAATTATTATTGCCTCATTTCTATTATATTTGTATTTTAAGTAATTTTAAAGGCTATTGTTCACTTACATCTATTTTTATTGCCACAAAAAAATTTATTATAATTATAGGGCCCTATGAAATCCGTTTTATTTCCAAATGCAGTTTTTTTTTCCATTTTCATTTTTCTATACTCTGTTTTAATGGTTAAATTACATTTTATTAATCAAAAAGCCTGTCTAATTAATTGAGTTTTACAGTTTTATCTTTACCAAATTCTGTTTTCCATTATTTTCTGGATTCCATTTTAATGGTTCCATTCAACACTCAAAGTTTCACAAATATACGTGCATATATATATATATATATATATATATATATATATATATATATATATTAGTATACACATACATTTTATATATATATATATATATATATATCATTGGGCCATTTGTCTTTTGCCTATAGCCAGGGTTATTTTAGTACCATTTTGATTTTGGGAAAAAATCTATATATATTAATAATAATATTTGTATTTGGGTTTTTTATATTTCTTGTTTTTATTTAAATAGGGCTATTCGCGATTCGTTGATTTTATTCGACTATTCGATTTTTAAAAATCCTCGACTTCATTTTGCTCGCGTCGACTAACCGGCAAAATACCGTAAGTGGCGCATTTCACGGACGAGAATCCATAAAACACATTATTAGACTGTTTCCCAAGGCTGCATGATATATTAAACCCATTTAAAAATCATAATTAAGCATAATTGTGAATTCACAAGCGTTACGATTTAATTAAATAATAATATGCGATGCAGTTCTAATACAGTATATGCACTTTAATTATTTACATGCGTGTAGGTTAAGTACATGCGTTCACAGTAGTTCCACAGGATCTGTTATCATTTACATGTGTGCAGCGTCTCAAACTCCATCTCTGCATGTTGTTGGGAGTTTGGGTTTATTATAACGTTCATCTGAGAACGCAACGTGCGCCATTTCTTCAGATTTGTAAGGTAAATAATTTATAAATCTACGCAAACTCAGGAGAATACATCGCGGTTTCAAAGTAAAAGCTCAAACCCTCACTCCGAGGTTACACGTTTTGATGTCCACATATTCTTTTAATTACAGTGGCTATAGCATTTCTGTCCTAAAGAAATGGCCAAATATTAAAGAATAAG